TAATTGGAGCTCACGTCTTCCCTACCTGGAGCTGCGACAGGTGGGATTATGCTGCCATCTTCCTGATGTTCCTCACTGGGTCTTTGAGGGAAATCTCGCGATATCTGACGTAATAAGAGAGACCGTAATTATTTAAAGAGAAGAAAACAGCTGCTTAATCGGGAGAAAAAATGAAAATGAGAAACGGTGAAGCAGCTTGCTGCTGTTCTGTAAAAACATATTTTCACCACTAGAGGTCAGACTTAGACTGTTTATATTCGGAACTCTTACAAACCCAAATAACAAACAGCACTTTTAATTCTTACAGTTGTTTCTGGGTTGGAAAATAGCCTAAAACTGCCCAACTGTGACCTATAATGTAATTACAGCTGTTACAATTAAAAGTCAGCAGAAACATGTGTTCTTCATAATTACGTTTTACAGATCCCGTCATTAAATACTTTAGTGAAACTCATCATATGCTTTTGCGACTGTAAAACACGTTAATGCATGTATTGTAAAAAAATAATGTGAAATAATTACTTAAAAAACTTTCAGTTGTTTAAGAAATTGTTTGAATAACGCTTTATTTTAAATTATTTAAAAGTGATGGCAGTTTTTTTTTATGATGGAGGAAAGTGCTCGTCTTCCGCGCTCCCGTGTTGAAACCTTTGGTGCGTGCACGCGGCTGACAAGTGCGCGCTTGATGGGTTAAACGGGTATTTTATTATCATCCAAATAATATTTCCATTATTGGTAAGTAAAAATATTTTAATCTAATTAGTATTTATGTTTTCTTGGTGTTTATTTTTAAATTATACTCGTCTTGGTAGACGAACTTGTATCCGGGACACAAGTTCGTCCTACGAAGACGAGTATCCCTCCTCGTGATCAGACACTAATGAATCTCGCGTGTGTTGAAATGGATCTAAAAATAAAAGTTTTGGGAACAACAGAAAAGGTAGGTGTACTTTAAAGTCATGCTCAAAGATCTTCTATGTAACAGGTGGCTTACGCAAACAAATATATTTCACTTTTTTTAACTGGGCGTCACCAGGATGTAAATTCCTACGTGATAACTGATCAAAGAGCAAAACAAACCAAATTTTTATTGGTTTGTTGAATTTGACATTTAAATAATCAAACACAAAAAACAGAGGCGCTGCTGCAATTTAATTTTATTTCTCTTTTGTTTTGTTTTTAAAACACAGTTTATATGATCATTTGGGACTCTTTAATTGAAATTAAAAAACATTCACATTCATTATAATTGCCACAATCTGTTGTAAAACTCTGCGAAACAGGAAGTAGAAAATATAGGGTCAAAATACTTGATAAATTAGATGAAATATGGTGTTATAAACTTGGCGTTTCTGGTTTACTCCAGTTAAACTTTCTTTACATCAAGAGAAGCTGAATTGTGGGTTTATTTTAGCTAAATGTAAGCCTTTTTTCCATCAGTGTTAAATTCACAGACTCAGTTTGAATAAATCATTTACTGACTTACATAACTTTATGATGGGGAAAAAAGCTCAAACTTTCTCGGAAAAGTGTCAGAGTGAGACCTCTTTCCCTTTTTCTCGCCGCCTCTCTCACGGCAGATAATAGGCTCTTATATAACCCGCCCGCTAGGTATTTTCCCTTCCTCCCATTGGTCAACCCCTTCTGCTATCTGTGATCTGATTGGACAAGCCCGGCGAGCGATGAGCTCATATTGGTTAAAAATAGTTGGGCTCGAGAGCGGCTAAAAATAGAGCAGTATATAAGGACGGCGGCTGCTCGCTGTTGTGAGCTAGTTCTCCTCTGCTGCTCGAGTCGGAGAGCTTGACGGAGGAACAGAATGAGGAGTACCGCTCTCAGCCCGCAGTACCCTCCCCTCTTCGCTCGTTTCTTCAAGTGTTGCACCAGAAGCAGCGTTATGGCTTTACACGAGCCCCGGCCACCAGCTCTGGGTGGGGCAGGCAGGGACGAACTTCCTTTGACTTCTTCGGTTTAATTCCTCTAGAGACAAACGGTCCCTTCCACAAAACGAACACAAAACTGGGAGGTTTTTAGTGCCAAATGTCATTTTAGTGAATGTTGTGGAAAACTTATTGTGATTTAAATGAGGGTTTTATCTGGTCACCTGCTGCTTCTTGAATAATTCACAGAATAAATGGTTTGTTAAAAGCAAGATGGTGGACAAACGTACTGAAATACTCTGGTAGGTGTAGGAATGAACAAAATAACAAAAAGGGGTCAAGGCTTAATGAGAGGAATCAATGGCAATTTGATTAAAACAAAAACTTTACCACAGTTGTATTGCGAGTTGGGGTCAACCGATGTGGAGTTTTCTAAGGCCGATACACGCTGCAGCTCAGTGGTAGGACTCACTCCTGCTCCTGTAGAGCCGGTATCCAGCACGACTTAGTTTAACTCAACACCTGATTTCAACCAGCAGGTGATTAGGCTTCTGAAGAGCTTGAGCAGATGCTGCACAGGTCATTCAACCTCTGAATTATGTGTTGGAGTAAGAATCCTGGGTACCGGCTCCAGGACCAGGAGTGAGCACCACTCCTGCAGACTTTCATGGCTGACATTACGTTTTCCACCTTATTCACATGCTAAAACGTCACTGATAACAAAAGTAGATGTGTTGTGTAACATTTCTGAACTCAGTCTTTCAACGCCGACTTTAACCAACTCTTGAATCAGACTTTTGTGCAGTGTACAGCATCAAAGACATTTAACCAAGTTGATCACAAAATATTTCCCTTCATTGAAGGAATGTTGGTCAATAAACCGACCACGGATTAGAGGATTAGAGAAATAAAACATGTGACCAGAAAGAAATTTCAGATGACAATAACGTTTTAGAGCATCTATCAAGCAGATGTTAACGGATGTAAATAAAATTTGGTTTATTAGGATGCCTGGGGATGTGCCTGACTCTAAATTGGCTCCACAAAAGATGAATTTTATTATATATATATATATATATATATATATATATATATATATATATATATATATATATATAAGTAAATATTGGTATATTATATCGGTCAACCAATAAATCAGTCAATCAGTCAATCCCTAATGGTGAGACATGTGAATGTCATAATAAGCATTTTAAAATGCATCAATTTCTAATAACTGACTTAATAAATACAAACGAGAATTTTATTGTTGCTTTTTGTCTGTTTTAGTTTTGCTTCATTTCATTAGTTTTATATCCAAGCGATGAATAGAACCTGGATTTTATTTTTCCAGAAACACTAAAACATTAACTTATTGATGTAATTATGAACCTGCAACAGCATGGTGTGTAAATATTTATACAGAACTAAAAATAATCTGCGGCAGTGGCAGCAGAGTGTGACGGAGCCGAATGCAAATTATTACCGGTACCTCCTGGAAAGCTGGTAAAAATAAATACAAATAAACAATGAACAACATGATTCAAACGGCAAATAAATATGTTCCAAAAGGTCCAAAATATGTTTGAGAATACAAAAGTCCTAAATGACCAGAAAAAAGCTTTCTCAGATTTAAATGCACCTTTAATAGGAGTTTTAATGTTTCAACTTGATGAACCAAACTGGATATTGTAAATGTTTATTATTTTTATACATAATTCCTCTCAGTGTTCCAGATGTTAACAGAATTACAACATCAGTGCCAGTTGCTCCTGGCCATTATCACTCTACTGGTGCTGCTAATTACTATTTGTGTTTTCAGCTGAAACTGTCTGGTTTTCTTCTGATTCCACAGCAGAGACAAACCCCCAGTTCCTGCTTGGATTTTTACTCTGTACAATGCTGCAGGAACCAAAGCCACTCCAGGTTATTCCAGCCCAGCTGCAGCTCCTCCACCACAAACTTCTGAACATCCAGGATCATCCCACACAGGCTGAAGCTGCCTCGCCTCAGCATCCCACACACTCCACTCCCAGCAGCAGCAGCAGCAGCAGCAGCACAGTAGCAACTTTAAACATAAATAAGAAATATGCTTAATTCATCGTAATTTTATTTTCTTAAAGCCTTTTTTATCCCCAAATCCGTGGGCTTTCTATGGAGTTTGCCCTCTTGGAACTCATGTGTCCTCATTTCCTTCTGTTTTAACTTTTGAGGTTTTCTGTGGAACTCGTTAAAAGACCGTTATGTATTAAAAACTGAAAGAAAAAAAATCTATAATTTGCAATATTGGATAAAATTACCTCTTAAATTAAGATTTATAACAAACACATTTTAAAAGAATAAAAAAAATTACCCTTTGATGCATAATGGTCACTACAGTGGACAGGTACTCAAAATTGTTTTATTTATTTATTAAGCACAGCTGTTGAAGACTACTGCATGTGAGCCCCTCCATTTGGACTTCAGTAAGTCAAGCCAACATGTTTCATATTCAGAATGCACGCTGTCCGTTGAGGTCATAGGTTGAGGTGGACATGTAATAAATTATTTGTAAATTATAAAATTTTACAAAAAATATTTGTTGAAATTGGTTTCATTCACACCTAAAGATGAATGAAAAAATAGTTACAAAAATCATGGTTGAAGATCTCATAACTCATGCATCAATGGGTTAATGTTGAACTTAGATTTTTAGATATTTCACCATTAAATTACACAATTGTCTGGCATTTCTTTATGTAGCTACATGTTCCATAATGCATTTAATTTTGAACACTTTGGAGTTCCACAGGGTCACTTTGGCAGAGCAAAACCACCTTTTCTCTATTAAACTGCTAGTCAGCTGGAATTTTTACATCTCGAGGTTTAGTCTTGTTTAGACTCTCAACACATTTCTAAATTCATCACTTCTGGTGTGGAAACCCCAACAGATTCACTTTCCATTTCAGATTTGTTTTATTCCCCCAACAGTTAAAACAATAAAAGCCCAACATTCCAGTAACATCCATCACTGATAAGATTTTACTTAAGAGGGCGGTTTGGATTTTGACGAAGTCTCCAATCATGTTAGGTGTTTTTATTTAACTACGACTCTTCCAGACACAGAACACGATGACTAAAAGCTTTGTGTTATAGAAAGTAATTTATTACACAAACCAAAGCTAGTTTACAAATACAATTTCCAGTCATGTGTGTGTGTGTCGTCTTATGAACAAACCCACATTTCATATTTACAGACTTTGCATACAGCGTGGTTTTCCTGTTCCTTTGCTTGTTTCTGCTTCAGCATCCAAAAATCTGGATTTAAAATTAAAATATAGAAATAAAAAAAATGATTTGTATATTAGGTAACCGTCTTTTTTTTATCCTTTTGCATTTTTTAAGTAGTTTGTGTGCAAACCAAACCAAACAGAGAAAAGCCAGCGATGGCAGCCCTGGCGATGCTCCACACAGGCAGCCAAGAGGCCAGCCCTTCTCCTGACTGCCCAACAGCATTTGGCGGGGATGATTGACGACTCATTACAAAAAATTGTAAATCATCATAAATTTTCTATATATATTTTTTTAAAAGGCGCAAAAGAAGAAAAACCTAAAGCAACACGACTAAATTCCCTAGTTTTCCTTCTATTTTTCTGTTAAATACTGATAGACATGTTTATGACTTTGTTTTCTTTAAAAGCTGGAAATTAAAAAAAAAACAACACAAGACTGGTATCTGGAACAGGCTCCGCCCATTAGGCCAGGAAGAAGAACAGGAGGGTGTAACGCCGCTGTCGAATGACCCTGAATCTGTCGTTGAAACACAGAAAACTCTGCTGATCAACCTAACCACGACTACCCCTCTTGTTTTGGTTTTCTTTAATAAAACATCTTACAAATACCCCAAAATTTAAAGCAGGAAGTGACCCCACCCCCCGCAAAGAATTTACCTGCACACACACCCTTTTTGGTGGCGTTTCCATGGAAATTACTCAGAATAAAGTTACATTTTTCATCTTTTATCACCCTTTACCTGGTAAATCACATCACTGGTCAATCAAATATGTAAATGTCACCATGGTATGCTGTAGGCAGGCCCCACTCAAAAAACGAACTAGATCTCATACATACTCAAACACAAAAGATTCATAGATGATCCCAACACGGAGACGAGTGGTGTGCATGTAAACAATCCCTCCTGGTTCTTCGTCCTGGTCTAAGACCAGACAAAGGGGAGCACCAGCAGTCGGCTAAGCGGAACAGGAAAGAGATGGAAGCGGCTCGGGCTTCAATATGCAGGGCAGGAAGCTACCTTTGTCATCTTTACATTAATCCACCACTTCCACTGACTTCATCAAACCGATACAAACATTTAGGAACATGCAAACAAAGATGGCCGATCACGTTCTAAAAGTAGACAAACCAGCATGTGAGTATAGCTCAAACCTAAATCAGCAGACAGGAGATAACGATCTGTGCTTTCAATTAGATTCAATCAAATTTAATCAAAAGGCGGCACCGAGGAGTTTCTCTGGCATTCAGAGCGCTTTTGGTTATCAGTTGATCGAGCAGATAGTCTCGGGAAGACTAGATGTCAACGTGTTTGTGAGCAGATTAGCCACAAGGGTAGATGAAAGTGTCTCGCCCGAGGTGGAACAGATAGTAAAAACCCCTTTTTAAGCTACCATTCACTGGTGGATTGTCTACATTTGAGGTTGTTTTCAGGTGATCGCGGCATCCGACAAGCAAGAAAAAGAAAAGTTTCAATGTGCTGTCCTGGTTTTAGTAACGCTCATGACCGTCACAGGTTAAATAGTTCCCAAGACAAGAAACCGAGCTTTTCTTTTTCTTGACACAATACAGATTAACCAGCCAGATTTCTACGAGCTGGGATCTTCTAATGATCTTAATCAGTGTAAGTGGCTTGCTGGAAAGACGGATCGTACCAACTCTCAGCTGGTGGAAATCTCCCAACCCGACGGTGCACCCACAGGTAAACGGCCTGGTCTACAGCGGCAGTAGCTTACTGTGCTCTCTTCTCCCTCAAGCGTCCACCTGCACGGCCATCTCCATCAAAGCGTCCCAAACCCAGGTCCCGGGGTAATTTGAGTCCAACAAACAGCGGTAGTATTTTACTGCAATCTTTTCTCCCCCTTACCCCCCCTCCCCGTCTAGTAATCCCTGCGTTCCTACTGAGCCCTGTCCCCGGGTGTAACGGCCCAGGGCTGAAAACAGTCCACAGATGTTCGCCTTTTAGAGCAGCGCACATTTATTGTTCTTCTTTCCACGGCGGGCTTGCAGCGCTGCCCTGGTGGCCATCTCGAAAACCTCCCGCACGCCTTCCTTGGTCTTGGCGGAGCACTCCATGTAACCGGAAGCGGCGATGCGTCCGGCCATGTCCCGGCCCTCCTCAGACTTCACTGGTTCCTGTTGAACGAGGAGACAATCGGACCATTTTAGACTCCACAGCCTGCAGACGGTCACAACGCCATGGCTTCACAGAAACGTTAATAACAGTCAAGTACCTGCTTCATCTTGGCCAGCTCTCGACGCGTGTGCTCGTCGTTACGCAGGTCTTTCTTGTTTCCTACGAGGATGATGGGGACATTTGGACAGAAATGTTTGACCTCCGGGGTCCACTTCTCTGGAATGTTTTCTGTTTAAAAAAAATATCAAGAATGGTTTTGTACATCTGTAGTTCAATATTCTCAGAACTGAAATGAAAATGCGACCATCAGTATTTCCATTAAGATTAGGCGATTTGGAAAACTTGTTATCAATCCGAAAAAACAGTGATGGCGATATAACGCAGCGATCCACCAATCACACTTGTTCTTAATCCGTTTATGGAAGAAGACTATTGGCTATTTGGTCAGTCAATGATCATACTACACCAAAATTAGGTGGAACTACACTTGTGCGAATAGGGGGCGGTACTTCAGATTTATCAGCCAATAGCTGAAGATTGAAGAGGTCTTTGTTTAAGATGGCTCTTTTCTGTTAATGATTTGAGGCTTCAAACTACGACTTCTAGATTATTTTGCATTTCCCAGCGGTTTGATAAAAGCGTGTAATCCTGATTGGCACATTTCCTTGAACTCACAAGAGTCTTGGCTTTCCAACGATGTATATGTGCATACAAACGTACAAAGAATGTTGCAAAAAAGACGATTTGACCTTGAACTACCGTCCCATCTGCAGGACATAATCATTGGTGTATAAAAATGATCTGTGAAGGGCTCAGTCCTTCGTTGATGGTTGATAAATTCGCCCAATCACCTAATCTTAATTTGCATAATTTAAATAGCCACAATTTCCTGTAATTTTTTACATTGTTTTTTCCTTAATAGTCGATTTTTCAGCAGTAAATGGACAAAAAACTCTGAGAACAGTAATAAATACAAATGAAGTGCTTGTATATTTTCAGTAAACATGAGAATTAGCCTCAACGGTAGTTTGAACATAAACCTTCCCTCCAAAGAATGATCAGCAAAACCATTTCATAACTTTTTTAATATTATTGGTATTTCTGCTTCTACTTTACTCTAATTATAAAATCCTAATTTTTGAACATCTACCTGAATATGATCAGAAAACTGCTGTTTGTAATGACTCAGAAAAAGCACGACTTGTTTCTGTCAGCATTAAAGCAGTTCCTCTCCAGAGAAGCTTTAACAGTCAGAGGAAGGAGCTCACAATCAGCAACTACTTCAAAGGAAACTGGAAAAATAGGGAAGTGCAAACAAACAGAAATGAGACATTTTCGGTCACGCCTGAACGCGTGTGTCTATAGGAATGAGGTTTGCTCTCACCCAAGCTGTCAGGGCTGTCTATGGAGAAGCACATGAGGATGACATCAGTGTCTGGATAGGAGAGAGGTCTCAACCTGTCGTAGTCTTCCTGACCGGCTGTATCCCAAAGAGCCAACTCCACCTGAGGCACACCAGCACTGGTTTTAACAGGATTTTCAAAACTGAGAAACACATTCAGTTCAACCCGCAGACGCAAAACTTCTAATCTAATCGTGAAAACAGATCAAGACATTTCTAAAACTGACACTGGAGACATAACCCGTGTCCTCCTGTCAGAAATCAGCAGGCCAAGAAAGACTCGGCATCCCAGAATCCTATTAACCCAGAACAAGGTCAGGACATGTGAACGTGTGACTGATGCGAGGCTGGGTGCCATAGGTACCCAGAAAGGCATACAAAGAGCTTCCAATGAACATGAAGGTAACAGACGTCTCACCTGCTTGCAATCAACCTCGATGTCGGCAACATAGTTCTCAAACACAGTGGGGACGTAGACCTCGGGGAACTGGTCCTTGCTGAAGACGATTAGAAGACATGTCTTCCCACAAGCTCCATCCCCAACAATCACCAGCTTCTTACGGATGGCTGCCATCCTTGGAGGAAGACAAAGTCAAAGTGATAATCAAGGAGCCACAAGAAAAGCACAGCTTGTGCCACGCAGTGGTCTGAAGCTGCACAGTACAAAAGAATCCCAATGCAACACTTCGCCCGACACATTTAACCACATCGACTTGAACGGCTTCAACAGAACGCGCTAGGAACTACATGAAAGGTGCATGTCATATCAAAATAAGATGTTAGCCTTAAACATGAAATGACTGATGAAGCCAATCTGAGGTTTTCCTGAGCATCTTAAACAACACCAAACATAAAAAACAGCTAAAAAGGAGATATGTAGTCAAGGCTCCAATAGGTCATGGCAGTAAAAGCGTGAGAACGTCGATTTGAGCCGTTCTGAGTGGAAATGCGGTATAAATGTTCTGAAAACACTTAAACACGCTCCGTGTCCCAGTGTGATCTGTAAAATTAAATAAACTAAAGTTTTACTATCGCGTCATACCCGTGCACGCGCATTGGGTCCACAGCGCGCGTGTGAACGGGACTCGCGAGCGAAAATATACATGGCAGCGCGCGCGTGAACGGGACTCGCGAGCAAAAATATACATGGCGAGAGGTCATTTGTGCACTGAGAGGGAGCAAACTGTGTCTGTGAGCGCACAAGGATGTGCACAAGTGACAAACCTGCGTGCGCGCGTTGCCAACGAGCACTCCTTAATCTCCTGCAAGTTTGATCAGCAGCCCGTTTGGAGCTGTTACATGGCCAATTACTTTTTCAGACAGTCTATCTAACACCAAAATATCGCAATTCAAACTCCGACTGCAAGGTGGCAGCAGTTTTTAAGTCGCCTTTATTTTGACGGAACAAGATCCCACCTTTAGGCTTGCTGGGATTAACCATTTTGACTATTAATCTCATTTAACCCCTTTAAAGACGTCTCCAACTCTACCTATATAAAAAATAAATAAAACAATAGTGAAACTGCTTCTGCTGCGTTCAGTTTCACTATTGTTCTTGTCCGTGCGAACTTCACTACTGTTTTTAAAGGCGGTGTTGGAGATGTTTTTACGGGGTTAAACAGGATTAATAGTCGTGATGGTTAATCCCTGCAACCCTACTTACAATAGCCCCTACTTCACATTAAAGCAAAACGGCAGCAGAACAGTTTACTTGCGACGGTTGCTGCGTGCCCGTACACAACGGGAGAATGTCAGCCGCGGACTGGCTTCTCTGTCGTGCTCCTCGCTTAACTTGTGAGATCCCAAAATCCTGAGTTTATGCCATCTGCCATTAAACCAAAAATAATGAAATCACATTTGATGTCATATTTGATGTTTCTCTCCCCTGCCAAGATTAAAACTATGAAAAACACACTGATGTACCTCTGGAAAGATGCCGAGATTAAATAAGCCATTAGGTCACTTGTATTAATGTAGTCTAGATAGATATTAAATCATTGCAATAGTCTTATTTTGAAAATTACTCTGGGTTTTACACTGAAACCGTGTGCGCTTTCCTCTCTAGCCCCACGTTAACTGTGGAAATTGTCCCAGAAGTGGCTTGCGGCAAAAACAGAACCAGATCTTATCCTTAGCAGCGGGGTGTGCCGCTTCTGGGACAGGCTCGAAAATGGCCGCGTTGTGACTGGTGTGAATCACCCCCTTAGAATATAATGGACTCTAAATTGAAGCAGAGACGTTCCGCTGCCGCTCCGAGCCACTGATGCTTCGAGCGTGATGAAGGGGTAAAACTGGGCGCGTGTAAAAAGTTGGTAGTTACTTCTGAAATAGCAGTCAGCTTCCAACTCCTACATGTAAATGATTTTGTTCTCTGTCCTGATAATGTAGAATAAAACAAAAGTACATTTTCATCGGTTTCCTCCAGCCTCTATGTTTCGTTTTCAAATTTCTCAACATCCAAGTTGATAAAATAAACAAAACAGACTATTTTACAGTCTTTTCTGCTTCATTAGTTCCAGACTGTGATGCACCAAAGTGCTGTAAGGTGCATGCATCCCATAATGGTGCACTCTTAACTAGGACAGCAGTGTCAAATAAGATTAGGCTGTTCCCTCTATGACACGAGCATAAAAAAAGACAAAAAACGGGGACAGCTGTAGCCTAGAGGTTGGTCAATGTTTGAGTAATGACCAGCGGGTAAACAATTATAGATGGCCTGCTTTTATCAAAGCCTATATAGATGCTATAAAATACACTGTGTCTAACTGTGAGCAGAAGTCTAATATACAACAGCTTCCTTTAGCTCTAAATGAACGGAGGAGACAAAGATCAGAGTCTGAGCCTAGAGACGTGTGTTAAAACTCACATAGGACATGATCACACCAGGCAAGAAAATGAGAAGTCTTCAGTTTCTGAATAATAGCAACTGTTCACATTTTTCAAAATAAAGTCCTCAAGTATTTATGGATGGAAGCTGAGGTGTCAGAACTGCTGTTGATTGGGACTCAAGCAGGTTGACAAACAGTATCGATGACAAACTTCTCTGGGTAGTTTTAATCCTAGCAGCTAATAAGGACCAAGCTACTCGTGGACATCCCCACCCCATCTGCTCGTTGCAAGACAAGAGATGAACAATTGATAAGGAAAACGATGACTCGACACAATCGAATTAACAGAAGTTTAAATACAAAGGCAGTCTATACTTTCATGATGAACATGAGCAGAGGTAGACGACAGCTGTCAGCAAGACTAAATCATCTTGTCAGCTCTAATTCACAATCAATGTTCACAACAGGAGGTTCTGATTGGCTACTTACACACACTGATCCAACTATTTCTAACAATTTTTCTGATTCTCTAAAAGGAGCTAGCTTAATTTGTTGCACAATGTTTGGTCAGGTATCTGTGAATTGGCTCAGGGTTTCTGACAAAAGGTCAAACTGTTAAAGTTAACCCCAAAAGCAAAACGACAAGATTAATCAAAGTGTGACTGTTCACTAAGCGGTGCGGGTACCATGCACGACACGAGTTTCAGTGCATTACCAGAGTGGCTACTGTTTACACGATGATTCATCGTGTCCTTTAGAAAAACCTCACACAAGCTGTGTTGCATTTAGAGGCATGTGTGTGCCGCTGGAAGGAAACGTCCCACGCAGTCTTCAGGATGGAAAAAGAGCTTGGTTAAGAATGTTAACTGACTGTTGAGTGATGAATACATCAGAAATTTGGCAGGTGGTTTTCTTCTGCCACTAGACAAGTGTTTCTGTCAAGGACCAAATCTGGAATTCATCCATTATTGTTAATTATTTCACTACTGTGTTGAAAGCATGAAAGCAAAAGTCAATGAACAATACCTCTTTGGTTAGGAATGGTAAGAGACAAAAGTAATAGTTAAGATTAACTATGTGCATACAATTTACTTTTCTTTACTGGTCAAGTTGAAATTGTATAAAATAGCGGTTTCCAGATGCCGGCCAAGCAATCGGTGAAACCTTTACACCAATATTATCTAGAGTTCACACTACACTGGCTGGCATTTAGTGTGTCACAGCTAAAAAATAAAACTGACGACAACAGCAATGCAAAGACAAATAGCCACTATAGGCACGTGCTTCACTGATACAAAGTCAAGAGCAAGATCCTGTCTAAACACTGCAATAACATGGTGTTGTCAAGGTGACCCCACATAACATCAACTAGGTTACTCTGCTGAGGAGCTTCCTGAAACAATGAGTTTATATTGTCTATTACCATCGCACATCCTTATTAAATGGATCATTGAAATACTGTAATAATAAACGATCGTCCTATATGAATTAAAAATGAATGGCAGAAGCCTTTAAAAGCCTAACATCCTATAATAGAGCTTGTGCTGCTTAAATAACCAACTAACTCTTAGAATTTAAAACTGACCAACTTAATGATCAACTCACAGATCATTTACCACTGTGCAACAATCTTATTGCAATTTTCAACCCTTTTTGTCATCACACTGAGAAATACTGATAAGATCTTTAATCAGAACCATGTGATATTAATTGGCTGTTTGTTTAAATATGACACTGATCGTCTCTTCAACGTGTTTGAGGCGAGAAGATGAATTTGTCTAACAGCTTCAAGGGTGATGGAGTGAAAAACCTGCAACAAAACCTTTCTCAAGCCCACTCCTGTCTTAGGCACAACAAAACGAGCCACAGTTATATCATAATAGAATAAATTCAATCTTAAAGGCTTTTTTACACTGGTAACAATAAATAGAATGACAAATGTCTTAATAAAGACATCTATTAATTTTACAACAATGGCTTTGATTGTACTGACTAGGACACACAGGTTATGTGCCGTTTATCTCTCATCAATGTAGATTTTTTTGAACTGGTCTAAAGCAACACACAGCTAGGGACATTATCACAACAATACTAGATTGGATTAATCTAAATCTTTATATGCATGATTAAAAAGAACGTCCTCAGTGTATATTGTGCCAATCACTGCATACATGGCATGTGAAAAGTGGTTAAAACGACCAATGTTAAACCAAACATTTCTAACTAGCCACTGGGTGGGTCACCAGAAAGATGGCGTCATCACAGAGGCAACAGATGGCGAGTGTGTCCGCAGTGAGAGAACGGGTGGGTGGCCCAAGCACAAGCAACCCCCCTCAAGTCAGATCCACACAGTATACAACACCCCCTCCAACCAGAGATTAAAAATCTAGGATCAAATAAAGAAACCCCACGAAGTTAAAGTCCTCAATACCTAAAAATCCACAGTAAACGCGGAGGTAACGTTTAAACAAAGTTCTTAAACAGGTCATTTGTATCCTTTAATGAAAAATCACGAAGATACTTTATGTTGCCAGCTGGTTAGAGAAGAACGGCGAAGCTACCGGGAAACCGAAGCAAGTCAGAAGAAGGACCTCATTGTTTGGCTGCGGCTCGCAAATCCATCAAGGACTGTCCTCGAGCTTCAGTTTAAAAGCTTACTTTAGTTTCCTCAATTTAACTAAAGCCGCCACGGAGTGTGGTAAAGACGCGTCAGCCCCAGGAGTTGCAGCGCCGAATAACCCACAGCGTTCAGCGCAGCCAAGGTAACGACTGCGGAAGAAGAGGTACAGAAATAGACGGCGGTAAAGAGGGGACAAGCTTACTTAGCTACAGGATGCTAACCTCGCTAGCACGGCCTCTCAAAGCCAAGGACAACTTAAAAAAATGTTTTTTAAACTTTTTAACACAAATACGCGAAACTAGAAGATGTTCATTGTCGCTTAGCGTTCGTTAAAGTAGTTTACCTTTAGTTGACGTGCCAAGCTGAGGTATTTTTTCCCGTATTTCTCGAAACTGAGCAGCGTTCCAATCTTTCGGCTTCCTCCCGTCTCCGTCTGATACAATGAATTAGTTCATGGGCGCGCGCAGCTGGGGGAGGGGTGGCGGTCACGAGCCCGAGGGCCACGCCTGCGCGGCCACGATGAACGCACCTCGGTGGAGCTCCTCAAGCGAAATCTGTCATGATTTCAGGCGTGGAAATCCCCAAAACTTTCACTTAACACCAAAAGATTAATGATCACTTACAACAGGAAATCACAATTAAAGCAAATACAACACAGCGTGTCTTCATATCTGAGGTACTACAAGGCCCTAATATAATAATAATAATAATAATAATAATAATAATAATAATAATAATAATAATAATAATAATAATAATAATATTTCAAACACTTTAGCTGTTTTATATATTTAGTTTTCGGTTCCAAATAGGCTGTTTTTTGTTTAAGAACAATCTCACTATTTGCGTTTTTAACGTAACAAAAAACGGAAACCAATAGTTTTAAAAATGCAGGTAGATTAATTAAAGTAATCGCAGTTTGAGTGTGTGAGTTGTTGTCTGTCTCTAAGTGTCCCCATGAAAAGTGAGGGAGCAGCTTCATTGAATTCACAGGGAAACAGTAGAAAGCGGGCCACTGCTCCCCCTGGTGGCTATAAGGTTAACAGAACAAAAACATTATTGTAGAGCACCTAATAAATTTAGAGACCCGGGATTTTCTTTTTATTTTGAAATAATTTTTTCTTTTTCCACTTCTTGGACACACACTTGCGGCTAAAACCACCTTTAAAAACTTTAATAAAAATGTTTTACTTGATCATTATTTTTAATTCTTTCATTAAATATTGTCCAATCTATACATCTAATTTTGCAGATGCACAGTAAAAATACCTTTGTTTTGATGCATTATAACAATTTTCTGTTTCCATATTTCATAAGTTACTGATGTCAAAATAGGATCACACACCATCTTATGTTTTATCCTCATAAACAAATCAGCGAGATACACTTAACTCACTCTGAAAAGCAAATGCTTCAACATTCACAGCAAAAATAATTACAACTATTAATAAAAAAGTGTTGTAATCAATCATTTCACTGACATCATGAATTGTATTTTGAAAAATAAAGCAAAAATATTAGCTACTGTACTGTCACAGCAAGTTGTTTTTAGGAGGTGGAGTGAGGAAACATGAAGTGTGCTGACAAAATGCAGAACACTTGACATGTCTACTGGAAATTAATTATCACAGATTTTTAAAAAGCTGTGATGTTGTGACATTTCCAGTACATTCTATGGGTTCACTGCATCTTTATCTCATCTTTCAGTCATAACCAGAAGGCAAATATAAGAAAAAAACAACAAAGGAACCAGAAACAGGTAAAGTTTTGCAAAAGCAAAGTTGACCAAACTGAAACCACAGAATGCAAAAATCATCTGCAGGCAATGTTTTTATTTATGTCGTCCTGCATTGTTGTGCAAAGCATGCTAAGATAATTAAGCAGTTATAAGCAAGTGTGATTCTCAAGGAACCTCGCAAGTAGAAAACCAACCCAACAAAACTGCACTTGCACTGTTAATAAGTCCAGAGTTGAGACTGTTTTCAATAATAGCTACGTGAACTTCCAACTTGTAGAAAGCTGAGTGATTAGAACATTCTAGGTTGATTAATTCAAGATTTACTTCAAAGGATAATTCAGATAATGTATGTTTCTGTGGATAGTTTACGCACCGTTAATGTTACCCGTTACAGGTAATTCTGTGAATGACGTCAGTTTGGCGAAACAAAGAATAGCACCGACAGATGAGCTAATGGCTAATCTGAAGCCAGTTAAAATTTATTTATTCTCTCAATAAACTCTAATTAAAAAATTTTCAAAGCAGTTCAGATCATTAAAAAATAATTTACACAACCACAATCATAACACTGGGATTCTGTAATTATTTGCTAAATAAATCAGCACATGTGGGTGGGATTTCTTAACAATTAAAAGGGACATATTGTGCAAAACACACCTTTTGCATTCTTTTTTGCAGCCATGTGCGTCTCTCTAAAAAGCGTCAGTTCCTTTATTTATTTATTTTTTGTCAGTGTTTGGTTTTAGGAAACAATATGCACAAAACAAGCCATTTAAAAACGTCTGTTTGTGATGTCACAAATGGGGAAATTCTGAAACAGCTTTTAAAACAGCCTTTAGGCATAAAACCATCTCACCTGCAGGAGGAGCGGCTTTACTCTGAGCCCCTCTTGGATATTGGAGCTTCTTAGCATATAGCAACCTGTTAAGGAAAGGTAGGGGTGGCCAGCTACAGCTACCATGAAACGGCTCATTGTGGAAAGTACTGAAAATGTCAATAAAACAGCTGAAATTGCTATAAGTGAAACTGATTTAGCATAAAGAACTTTACAAATGTGTTTCGTATCAACCACAGAACTATTACTTAAGAAAGTCATCTGCCTCCTTTAAATAAAATGTGATTTTTTTTGCAATTACCTGAACTGACTGCTAGAAAATTGTTTGCAATGGAACTGTTGTGATAAAATTTGTATTAGGACTACTTTTATGCATCTGACTCATCAGATTTAATTTCTATTTTTCGTCATATAATAGGGGAAACATTAAAGTGTTAGCGAATTGTAAGGCCACTCAACCAGGGGTGAACAAAACAGCTGGAAAGGCAAATTTCTAAATATTAAAAATGAATTTAAACAAATGTTTAACAGTAAACTCATTTTGTGGTTTTGTAATTTGCTATTTTCTGCACAAACGTGTACAAATCCAGTGAAAAAACATCATAAATAAGCGAAAGCCAAATCCAGTTTGAAAGTCTCTTGGCGACCGCTTAAATATACTCATTTGCAGACAATTTAAAACATGTGATCACAAACCCAGAATGAAATCTATTAGCTTCAAATAACTTTAATCAAAAATAAAATAAAATAAAAAAAACTAAACTGGGCATCAAAAACTTTAACACAATAAAATGTGACATGGGCAGTTGAGAAAACAAAAACAAAACAGTGACTTTCGAGTCTGAGCAGATTGTTTTCTATCCAAGTGAAACTATTTAGAAGCCACTAGATCATTAACCACCGCTCAGTTCTGACACTTGGATGTCGGGAATGAAAAACACGTGACTACTGATCAATCACAGGAGGCTCACTAATTCATGGGTTTAAGATTTAAAAAAAGAAAACGGGAAAGACTGAAAGTGAAAATGTAATTTTCTGTTTGTCTCACTTTTTTCAGCACAAATGTGCGACGAATCACCAGATCCATAAACATTCATCACTCCAGAGTATGAACCATCATCACTGAACTGTTGACAGATTTCAGAAATGCAAAAGGTGCAGGATGGAAGAATTAGGTCCAGAATTAAATGACACATTGCAAAAAGGAAAACAGTTCCTATCTCCTCAGAGAAGAAATCTACAAATCAGAGTGAATCCCACAGGCAAGCATGTCTCAACAGCTTACAGAAACTTTTGATTCAAGTGGGCTTCCAAAAAACAAACAATTCTCCATCTATTGATCCAGACATCCCGGAAAAATTCCTTTCATCTGGCCTGTCTTTCAGTCTTCTGCAGGACAAACCTTCTGTCCTGGCCAGCTGGTCGGCGGGACCAGCTACACACACACACACCTACGGTCATTTCGCCACTTATCAAAACAAGCATCACGATCGTGGCGTGCAGCTCGGTCATTAAAAGTGTTTCTCCTTTTGCAGCAGATCTGGCTGCTCTGAAAAGACTTACAAAGAGTAGTTTGCACAACCATGTTTTGTTTTTTTTTTATTTGGAAAGCAAAGAGAAGAGCACATGTAGCAGAAATCAGAGTTCTCGGAGTTAGAATCGTCTTCTAACAGGAAAGAATTTGGACGTAGGTAGAAAGGAGATAAATTAGGTTCCGGTTATGCCCAAGCAGGCTGAGCGTTCACAACCAACATGTCTGAAGTGAAAGAGCAATACAGTCTTTTGGGAAGTTAACCGTGTTGGTGAGGAAAGTCATACTTGTTAACTTGACACAGGCGTGTATAGCGCGAGACATTGAGTGAACATCTAACCGCCGTCACTGAGAACAGACGTATACTAGTCAGGGATGCTGGATGTGCTAGTATACTGGACAGCGACACCAAACGGAGCTTCTCTACACACACGGTGCATTTATTTTGGCTATGATCTAGAGGGCGCGTCCTCAAAGCTGATGATGCTGGACTCAGGGTGCTGAACGCCACCCGAAGACAATGCTCCACCACCCTGTGAGGATGCGGAGGGGAGGGAAGCGCCGATAGGTCCGCTGGGTATTCTCGGTAAAGATGACGAGGAGTCCCGTCCAGATGGGAGGAGGGGCTGTGTGTCGGTTCGGACCTCGTCTTCCTCATCGTCTTCCTCGTCATCCATGCTGGGCCAAGCGGACTGGTCCTCGACCCGCTTTAGACGTTCATTCAGAGCTTTCAAGGCTAGTTGTCTGAGAGGAGAAAACAACGGTTCGACTTTTGAATTGTGTTTGCAAAAGTAGCTTTCCAGACATTTTGGTTAGCTTAAAACCTTTTCTGAAAGTTTCCAACTCGACTCACCTCCTCCTTTCTGCATCCTGTGGGTCTGTGCCCGGCAGGCTGATGGTGATGGAGGAGGGCGCCCCTACATCGTATCTCTTTACCATCTTCCTGCACACCTTTATCTTCACCAGGGCTGCATGGATGAGCCCGGCCAACAGTCCCACAGCCGGCTGCACTGCCTCTGGGAAGAAACTTGCAAAGGCAAAGTGGTCCGACATGTCCCCGCGGCCCCGGCTGTGTCGCTGGTAGAAGCGCAGGTACACCCAGCCAGACAAGGCGCCATAGCTGTATGCAGCCAGGGGTGCACAGCTGCTGAGCAGCCCAGACAGGCGCAGTAAGGCCAGGAGCAGGAGGACCAAGGCTGGAGCAGCTTTCAGTCTCACCTGTGATGGGAGGAGAAAAGATACGTTACTTTCATACAGAAATACAATGTTTAAAACTGCCGACAGAGCTAAACTTCCTACATTAGCAAATAAGGAAATTAGAAAGAAGTAAAGAATTTCATGTAAATTCACAGAAACACTCGACTTTGTGAAACGTTGGTACATTTGCACAGATTAAAGAAATCCAAACCGACCAAAAGGACAAGATCGCAGATACAAGCAGTCGAAATGACTTTTTCCGCCAGGTGGCTGGGCTCAGCCTTAGGGATGGGGTGAGGAGCTCGGACATTCGGGAGAGACTCAGAGTAGAGCCACTGCTTCTCCAGATAAGGTGGTTTGGGCCTCTTGTTGGAGTGCCTCCCCAGGGAGGTGTTTCAGGCATGTCCTACCGGCAGGAGGCCCCCTGGTCGACCCAGGACACGTTGGAGAAAGTACATCTCTGAACTGGCCCGGGAACGCCTTGGGGTCCTGCTGGAGGAGCTGGTGGAGGGGTGGCCGGGGAGAGGACGCTCTGGAACTCCTAGTTGGGATGCTGCCTCCGCGACCCGGATAGGCAGAAGACGACGAAACGAGGCCAAATAAACCAACAACGCTAAAGTAACAACCAGTTTTTTAGTGAATTAAGAAATAACTGATGCTCTTAAAAATACTGGAAAAGCACCTAAAATCTAAAGATTTTGTCTTAAAGTCACCTTTTTTTTATTTTGAAGACAATTGAGATTTTGGACCGCCTTAATCTGGTTGGAAAGAAGATAATTGTTTATGTTATTTATGATTTATTTGAGACAAAAAAAGACCTAAAGGCAACACATTAACCACCTATACAAACAAGTTGGTCTAAGACTGAGCCTATGCCCGTCGTCTGGCAAGCACTGCGTTTAAAATGCTGGAAACCGATGCTGGCGATGAAGCAAAGACTAAAGAGGAGGTTTTTTTAAGTTGCTATCAGCATTTGCAAAAACAAAGACACTGACTTTCACCAAGAGAAACACACTGGCATTTGGATTGTTAAATTATATACATAAAAAATCCCTACTATCTTTCAGAAAAGGTAGCACATCATCAACAGGCATAAACACACACACACACAAGGTAGTTTTAACTCGTATGAGCTTCAGAAAACAAACAAAAGAAAACCTGTGAAATGAGCTTGGAAAAATATATAAAACATAAAAATAAAAGCACATCCAACAGCTCAACTACTGACCTTTAACCCCATCAGTTTAAATAGTGTCCAAAAGCACCATTTTAATTCAATGATTATTTGCAATTCAACAAAAGTCTGAAGACTTGTCATTATGTGTACACTCGCACAATTAACACCTGTTCCTATATTATTGCTGCATGATTAAAAAACACATTAAAGCTTGAAATATCAAAATAATTAAGAACAATAATATTTTAAAAATTTGAATTAATTACTTACTAACGTTGATATATTAACTATATAATAAACTGTTTATTTCATTATGTTATGCAATGAAATGTTCTTTGAATACATTTAATTTCATTGTTCAGCAAAAAATAATTTAATCCCAACACAATAGTCTGGTTCTTTGGCAAACACTGCTTATGAGTGTAACAAGATGCTTGCTAAAGAAAATGTATAAATAATAAACAAATATTTTTTTATATGCAACAGAAGCTGTAATTGTAACTGACTTGTGTTAGATAAAAGGATCAACACACCAGTAGATTATCTTATCTGCACCGTACTTCACTTCTCACCTGTGGCACTCTGAGCACAGTAGTGTCCCCCATGGTTTGTTTCAACGCCACCAGGACGCCTCCCAAGAAACCAGCTGAACCGTAGATGCGCACAGCAAACAGGAAGTCCAGATCAAAGGTAGCCACGTAGGTGAGGAGATAGGAGAGTCCTGCCAGGAGTCCAGCAGACACATTCACTACTGCAAAGAAGATCAGGAGCTCCAGAGCACCCCACAAAGGCTCCAGCAGACGTCCGCATGCCATGACTGTCCCCACATTGGCTGCCACACCCCAGGCATGCTGCTCCACCAGCCCGTGGGTCACCAGTGTCCACACCCAGAAGTTAGGTGGAAAAAGGTAACCTGGGGTCACTCCGAGTGCATATGAAGTCTCAACCGCCCATGACAGCAGGTACAGCAGAACCACAACAGCACTTATAGATTTTACTACCACACTGGTGCTGGCAAGGGCAGCCAGGAAGTGCTGTCCTGCTACTGGTAGGTAACGATTCATTGTTGTCTTCCTTGAGCAAATCAGCTCAAGAGAGACAAAATATAACAAAAAAAAAAAGACTTGCTTCTGATAAAGATTGAATAGTGTCAGGCAGAAAAGGAGACACCAGTGAGTCCAGACAGGATCAAAATCCACACTTTTCTTTGAGTCCTCATCCGGATCCTGTTTGTCAAGAAGATGTAGATAGCTGATGTTTTCAACTCAAAGTCTATATTGCTTAATGCTCCAGTCTGTTGGCCTTGGGATTACAATTAAGCAAATTATGTCATACTTTTGGTACCATTTTACAGAACCAATGGAAGATAAACAAATGGGTGATTTTGATTGTCCAATAAGGTATCAAACCCTGAGCTGCAGTAGATAGGCCTCAAGTATGAGATAACATTCGAACAGGGAACCTTTGGGCAGAACTACAAAGACTACGACCATAAAGTTGATAAGAGACCAAAGTAGAGAGCTCACGAAGCACCCAACAGTTGTCACGTGTCACGGGAGAAGTGTACAACACCTAGTTGAAGAAAACATCAAGTAATCTACTGATTTGAAAGATCCTGGTTGAGTTGTAAACAAGCGAGCTAAAGCTAGCCAACTTGTTAAACTAAAAGCGACTTGAGTTGTAATGACTTATGTCCGCCACAGAAGACGAAGAAAGGTTTAGTGTTCGTCTGCGTAGCAGAAAAATAAATTAGTGTTAATAAAACCTGGTAGAGGAAGAAAAAAAATCTGCCTTCGCAGCTCCAGTCCTTGGTCGTCTATCTCTCACCCCGGTGTCCGCTGAGCCAGCCCGAGGATTTCACGTCGCTAGCAAGCAACAGGCCCGCAAAACAACGTTCCAGGCGCTTCAGAAGATGCGATAGTTCGCTTATAGTCGTAGATTTCTATACTAAACTATCTCCATTCGTTGTATTTATTGTTCTTCTGTCCATAAAATGAAAACATTGCCTTCGAAAACAGTGTTAGATTAGCAGGCGCTCCCACCACATTAGCTAACTGACCTGCGCCGTTTGCCACCGTCATCAGCGACGACGCTGGATCACGTAATGACGTGACTTCTTAAATTACTGCATGCTGGGAAACGAAGTTCTTTCACGTAGCTCAATTATTTGCAGGTTTTATACTAACATAATTGTTTGTATCATGATCTTTATTAAACAATTTTATAAAAATAATGTTACATTTTACTAATACAATACATTTAAATGGAATACATACTTATAAATGAATAAATGTAAATGAATTTTACATTCTATTCTATTCTATTCTATTCTATTCCATCTACTGACGTTTTAGTAGTTTGAGTGATTAATGGATTCCTAAAATGTGTGCAACAGGGATTTTCAGATTTAACGGATTGACTATCCAAAACTCCTTAGGGAGGTAGATTTTACACATATGCGTTGCAAAACAGTTCACAGTTCTTTGAAAGCACACTAAGGTGGTTTATTATAACACGTCATTTTATTTCAGATAATTAATAAATCCCAGCAAACATAGCTTTTCCAGAGGTTTAAAATTCTACCAAACTAAAACTGAAATATGAATATGGAATAAAACAGTAGACAAATTTGTTCATCTGTGCTTGGGAATCTTTTGAATGCTTTAGGGAAAAACTGAAAATAGTATCAAATAATAGTAATGAGTAGAAAATGCAATCTCTCTCTCCCTCACACACAGACACACACACACACACACACACCTGGGTGTGGATGGTGGGGTGGCCAGCAATTTTCTAGGGGTGCCACTCTTGAAATAACAAATTACTCCCGCCTTAACTGATAAAAAAAATTGCCAACTTCTATTAATTTATGACAAATAGAATTATAAGATTTACCTTTTCTGTGGTAAAAGTAAGATTTCCTGGGGCTAAAATGTACAAACTTGCTATTTTCATAGAACAACGCACATTTTCCAAGTTTCCCACTGACTCGATGTGTACGCAAGCTACAGCTACAGCTAAAATTAAAAAAATTTGGAAACATTTTTATTTAGATCATGTTTCTTTTATTTACAAACTCAAATGAAAACAAACAAAACATATGCAAAAATGTGATCCGTGATCATTCCACATCAACAATAAACGTGACAAGCTTTGAACAGAGAGCATCCTGAAACACAGCAGACTAAACTCCCTCCTCAGCTATAATGGAATCGTACGGTCAGCTCGGCGTGTCAGCCCAAATCACTTTAATAAATAAATATGTAAATTCAAGTAGAATGCTGTAAAACGTAGGAGAGGTCAGCCATCACAGAAAATAAAATCTAAGTTGATAGCCAATAAAAACGGTTTTACGCTAAGAATAAAACAATTCTTATAAAAAAGATCACAAAGAAAAATACTTTACGTTGTTTTCTGTGATGAATGATTGGATTTCCTCAGCTGTTAACCCAGACATTGTGAGTTAGCCAACACCAGAGGCTCATAAAAGTCAGATTGAATAAAAAACATTTGTTTCCCATGCTGTCTGAGTTTCAATATATCCCTTGTGTTTTTTGGGTTTGTCACTGCCAAAAAGACATTTATTTATCAGATTAAATGTCTCTTATTTCTCCACCAAAGATCCTGGCTCACCATGTGCTCAGAAACACCATCAGTATTTGGTCCGAGTGCATCGTCTGCACAGATTCACATGTTGGGTTGGACTGGCTGATCGTCAGTCATCACAAAGTAAAACAACTAAAAAACTAGCATCTGTAGGAATAAACAGGACCATAAAAATGTTACAAACAAGACAAAAAGAAAACAAATGACACCCCCCCACACACAAGAAAAATATTCAAACAGTGTACAAAAATGAAAATTACAAATAAATAAATATGCTAATTCATAAATAAAATAACTTGGTGAATTCAAAATGTCGCAGGAGCTAAAATGGACCGTTTCAGAATAATAAACAAATATGAGAAACAGAACAGCAATGAATGCTTTAAGCCGTTGCTTGTTTATGCTCAGTTTCATTTTCACCTGAAGAGCTAGTGGTTGTTGTTTTTTTAAAGCTTTCACTGAAGCCATTACGGAAAACAAAGATTCCACCCAAGGACAGAGGCGACCAAAGCACAAAACTATGAGATCAGACGGATAGTTTACGTTTAACCCATAAAAAAAACCTGGTTGCGTGACATTCTTTTATTTATTTTTTTGCCAGGTTTCCTCTAAATGTCCACAGATACCTGTCGTTTTAGAGTTCAGTGTAATCATGGATATGTTCTACTCAGTTGAGAGCGAGCCAGTGGCGTGTCCAGGCCTTTTAAAATGGGGTGGCCCAGGTGGGGCAATTGTTTATATATACATGGATGCCATTTCTTTTAATTTCTTTAACTTTTTCTGTTTTGCATTGTAGTGAATTTGTGAGTTTCACATTGTGCCATAATCATTTTTTTCTCCCTACTGTTTTGGGGTATATAACCCCAAGCCTTTTGTGGACAATGTAAAGTCAATTTAAATGGAACTCAGTGGGGTGGCACCGGGAGTGGCAAATCAGATTCCAAGAGTGGCATGTACAACCCCAGGCCACTCCCTAGACATTCCCCTGGAGTGAGCGGCTGTGGGTTTGATGTAAACATATTTTTTTTAACTAAATAATTTCCCCAAGAAATATCAAAAGAGGAAAAAAGAAAAGACAGCAAAGTAAAGATGAAATTAGTTATCGATGATTCCTTTTGTAACCTTAAAGAAGACAACGCACACGTACAAACACGGTAACAGCATAAGCGTAACCAAAACTCGGGGCTGCGAGCACAGTGCCCCTTGGGTTTTTACAAAGTCATATAGGCTTGAGTGAGTGTTGCATCGTTTTCACTAGGCTACAGTAAGACTGCGGGTGAGACGCGGAGAGCTGCGGTGGCCGTCTCCCGTTGCCTCTCCTCTCTCACAGCTAACATTCAGAAAGATGGAGGCAAAAAAAGGCATTTCTGTTGGTGTTTTCTCCGCTACAAGGAGTGCACCTCACTAGTTTTTTTTTCTTGTTTTTCCCTGGCTGTTTTTAGGCAATGGTTTTCTTTAGAAATGAAAAGAACGTTACAATACAGTACACATCCAAAAACAGAAAAATACCCACACACCATGCCCACGTAAAAGGAGTTATTCCAAAAAGGCCTGGAGTAAAGGCATTTGATTAAGCATACATTCTTTTATTACAGTTGTAAAGTTTCACTAAGTCGTCCTCTTTAAGTCTCAACCAAATCTTCAAGAATGTTTTCCTTCTGAATGATCTATTATATCTGTTCTGGCAGTGAATTATTAAGTAGAATAATTTTTCTAAAATTTTGGTTTGATTTAAAGGGATATTCCACCTCCTTGGTGAAGTTTAGTCTATTCTCATATTTCCCAGAGTTAGACAAGAGGGAAAAAGCAGCTCAGTCATTCCACTAATGTCAAGTCTGTTAGCTTTAGCTTAGCATAAACAATGTAAGTGAATGGTAACAGCTAGCATTCCGTGAGAAAAATTCATGAAAATGATGCAATAAATATTATAATTGTTCTTGGTGACCTAAAAATCACATTGACTGTAACTGAAAGTAATAGGTAACACGAAGGAATAACAGGAGCTGAGTTAGAGTTGGGACTACATCACGACAAAGCACTGCTGTAAGCCGCTGCTGCAAGACATGACGCAGCGGCCTCAAAAGACACTTACTTTTGTAAACACATATGAGTGAATTATTTGAGCTGTAGTTCGAGTATCTTAAATTTCTAATGCAAAAAAATGGTTCTTGCATCATGTCCTAACACCTTGCAGTGACATCTTACAGCGGTGTTTTGTTGTAATGTTGTCCCAAGTCTAGATTGGCCCTGCAGTTCCTTCATGTCACTTACTATTTTCATTTGCTTTTGATATGTATATTAAGGTGATCAAGAAAAATTAGGATCATTATTGAGTAATTTTCATGACATTTTCCACAGAAAATGCTAGCTGATACCATTCACTTACATTGCTTATGCTAAGCTAAAGCTAACAGAATATTGCCAGATTAGGAGAATTCCCTCACTTTAACTCTTGGGCAACTGATTAAATTTCTCTTAGAGGTGGAAGATCATTTTAACCATTTTTCTTTTGCTGTTGAAGACATATTCAGTAGCAACACTCAAAACACATTTCAGTTATTTCACAAAACCGACTACTAACTACCTCAGATGTTAAATCTTTTTAAAACAAGCAACTCTACCTGATTTTTTTAGATGAGCTGTAAGCAAGCTTCCTCACATTTAACAAAGCTGCAGGAACAGAATCTAAACAGTACAACTATCATAAATAACTCTCACTTCAGGCCCATAGACAGCAGTACTCAGTCCAGTGATGAGCGTTTTTATGCCAAAATTGGACAAAAAATTTTTTTGGAAGCTCAAAGTCCACACATTTAATTCTTCCTCCCGCTGAATCTTTTCTATCTCTTTTCAGGTTTCACATTCTAATATTCGGCATCGAGGTTTGTTGCTCGATGTCCTGTCGTTTCTCCAAGGCAATACGGGTGACAAAGGGAATTCTTTGACTGTCTTTTAATCTTTGACCACATAAACCTCTTAAAGACCTTCCAAACAGGGCCTTTAAAATCTGCCAAACAGGAAGTCATCTCCATTTGTGAGAAGCTGAAGGTGTTTGGGAGTTTTACTCCCCCCTCACCTCGATTACATCATCATCCTCTTCAGAGCTGCTGTTGCTGCTAACATCCCTGCCGTTCACCAGAACTGAGGCCCGCTGGCCCTCGGATCGTGCTGGGGGGGAGATGGAGGAGGGGGAGGATGAGGAGGAGCTGGAGGCAGCAGTTGGAGGGTACTGGGACAAAAAGCTGGCTCCAGCCGGGCCAGGAGTGGCTGCTGGACCCGACACCCCTCCCTGTAGCATTGACCCAGAGTAGAGGCTGGCCAGAGATGGACTGTAGGAGAGGGGGAAGCCTGGTGGGAGCATCCCAGGCATGCTGGGGTTCAGCAGGAATGGAGGCAGGGCTCCCGGAAGTGAGCTGCTAGCTTTGACCGACGCAGAAGATGAGGAGAGGGCAGGACGAGTGGTTGCTGTAGAAGAGGACAAAGAGGAAGTCGGGGCGGCGCCAACTCCGCTCAAGCACAACAGATCTGGGTACATGTAATTCGGGTCACTCAGCTGAGTGGGGGGTGAGTGGAAGTAGTGCGAGCTTGAACCCATTAGGACAGGAGGCCTCGGTGAACCCCCCAACATGGTGGAGCCGAGACTGACAGGAGGAAGGCCGTAGCCCCCTGAGAACGGGAACCCTTGTGAGGACAGAGGGGCTGAAAAGGGTTTTCCTGCAAAGGGTTGCTTACGAACCTGCTCCTCCAGGGACGGGGTGGAGGCTTTGCGTTTAGCGCCCACTCTCAAGTCCTGAGCAGCGGTGGCATCCATGTTGGGCTGGATTATTTTAGTAACAGTGACATCACGGTGGCTCACGCTGCTGCCGTTAGCCTGCAGCAGCTCGTTGGGAGGCAGAGGGCTGAGGCTGCTCTCTGCTGCAGCCTCATCTCCTGCACCTCCAGTGTAGCTCTGCAGCTCATCGATGATCCCTGGGCTGTCAGGTGAAACAGGGCGGGCCACAACCTTAGAGGAGCCCAGCTGCTTCCTCTCAGGTGACAGGCAACCATTACTGTGATTGGTTGAACCATCCTGAGGTGGGGCTTGAATATCTGGAAGAAAATGGATTACATCTTAGCCTAAACCAAACAATGAATTCCATAATTTTTTTTTACTTAAAAATTTATTTCTGAGGACTTATGAATGCATTTTTAATGAGATTCTATTGCTGAGCGAATCCTCTTACCTTTAGGTGGTGCTGTTGCACTTTCGTCCACTGTTTTGGCTTTATTAGCTGCTCTGATAGCGAAGATTCGACCATCTGAAGTTCTGATATATGTCCCTAAAATCAGTGAGGAACGGTGTTACCTCTACACAATGCAAGAACCTAATAAAACAGCAGTAGAATGGCCTTAACTGTGCATTGATTTATTAAAACTGTGCCTTTTTAATGAGATTTAAGGTGTAAATTAGGCTTTAAAGCAGAAATCTGGAGTTTTATTTCTCAGCGGGCATCATCTAGAGGCGGAAAAATGTACTGCACCTTAAGCCGCTCTCTCTACTTCTGTGATTACAGCTAGAAGCAATGCCTCTCGTTCGTGAACGCACACCTCTAGCCGGGAAATAGAGCTAAAACACATTATTTTACGAATTTGCTCACAGAATTTTTATTTTTTTACTATCTATAAATTTTAAAGGCTTACTTGTTCATATAAAATGTCGCCAACTCTACATCCGCAAACATGTGTGATATCTGTATGCAAGCGGATGCCTAATGTTATTGGCTAATGCTGAGTGACACTCAAGTCAAATTGCATGAGGTTCTACGGGCGTGCTCAGCAAAAATAAATAAAAATATATATATATACACACTGCTCACAAAAATTAAAGGAACACTTTAAAGAAACACATTAGATACATCAGATCTCAATATGAAGTTGAATATCTGTACAAATAACGACAGGGTAATGTCTTAGGAACAAAAGGATGTCAAGTCTTTTAATGGAAATAAAAGTTATCAGCCAACAGAGGGCTCAGTTGTGTAGACACCCTAAAATCGGAGTGAAATTAAGATTTCAAAAAATTAATTTCTGCAACTCTAATTGCTTATCAGTATCTTGCGTGGCTCCCACGAGCTTGTGTGCATGCTTGGCAATGTCGGGGCATGCTCCTAATGAGACAACGGATGGTGTCTTGTGGCATTTTCTCCCAGATCTGTGTGAGGGCATCCCTGAGCTCTTGTACAGTCTGAGGAGCAACCTGGCGTCGCCTAATGGACCGAAGCATAATGTCCCACAGATGTTCTATTGGGTTTAAGTCAGGGGATCGTGACGGCCATTCATTTGTTTCAATTCCTTCATCCTCCAGGTACTGCCTGCATACTCTTGCCACATGAGGCCGGGCATTGTGGTGCATTAGGAGAAAACCAGGACCTACTGCATCAGCGTAGGGTCTGACAGAGGGTTCAAGGATTTCATCTCGATACCTTATTGCAGGCAGCATAACGTTCTCCTTGTCTTCTCCAGACTCTTTCACGTCTATCACAGGTGCTCAGGGTGAACCTGCTCTCGTCTGTAGAAAGTACAGGGCGCCAGTGGCGGACTTGCCAATTCTGGTGTTCTTGAGCAAATGCCAGTCGAGCTCTACGGTGCTGGGCAGTGTGCACAGGGCCCACTACAGGACCTCGGGCCCTCAGGCCGTCTTCATGAAGTCAGTTCCTGATTGTCTGGGTAAAGACATTCACACCAGTGGCCCTCTGGAGGTCATTCTGTAGGGCACGAGCAGTGCTCAGCCTGTTCCGCCTTGCACAAAGGAGCATGGATGGGTCCTGCTGATGGGTTGTGGACCTTCTACGGCCCTATCCAGCTCTCAGAGAATAACCGCCAGTCTCCTGAAATCTCCTCCATGTTCTGGAGATTGTGCTGGGAGACACATTAAACCTTCTTGCTGCAGCACGTGTGGATGTGCCATCCTGGAGAAGTTGGACAACCTGCGCCACTACTGTAGGGTTAAGGAATCGTCTCATACTGCCAGTAGAGCCAAAACTAGCACGAGTGGAAAACCAGCCGAAAAAGATCAAGAGAGAGACACTTGAAATGACCTCTACATGATAAACCAGTCCTGTTTCGAGGGTTTTGTAACTGTAGACACTTTAGTGCACCTGTCGTTAAGTCCATGAACACCAATACAGCTGAAAGTGATTAACAATGCCCTCAGCTGCTTAATCAACCAGGAAATTATCAGACAGGTTTAATTGGTTTCATGCCAGGCCCAATTAAAAAAGTGTTCCTTTAATTCTTGTGAGCAGTCTATCTATCTATCTATCTATCTATCTATCTATCTATCTATCTATCTACATATACATATATATATATATATATATATATATATATATACATATATATATATATATATGTATATATATATATATATATATGTATATGTATATATATAATGTATGTATATATATATAATGTATGTATATATATGTGTATGTATACATATATATATGTATGTATATATATAATGTATGTATATATAATGTATATATATATATATATATATATATATATATATATATATATATATATATATGTACATATATATATATATATATGTATATATATATATATATATATATATATATACATATATATATATATATATACATGTATGTATGTATGTATATATATATATATATGTATATATATATATATGTATATATATATATATATATATATATATATATATATACATATATATATATATACATACATACATACATGTATATATATATATATATATATATGTATATATATATATATATATATATACATATATATATATATATATATATATATATATATATATGTACATATATATATATATGTATATATATATATATATATACATAAACTCTCACAGTACAGGGTAAGAATATCACTTTTATGATTTCTAAAAACCTCATATATAATTCCTGAAATGAGGAAAACTCCAGACTCCTGCTTTAATTACAAACTATATACTCAAACTAAAGGGATTAAAAATGCATTAAAGAAACAGCAGAACAAGCTGTCGTTTGCAAACACAAAACTGTTGACGAGTATTTTGCGGATGTACCTTTAGTGCCCCTGATGACATGAATACTTTCTCCACTTGTGATCCTTGCCTGAGCATCTATTGATCTGTTAGTACCTGGAATCATGATGTCTGAAACAGTTCGAGAACATTTTCAGAAACAGAAACAAGGAAAAAGGCTTAAATAGTTCAATCAGCTGATGCACAGTCCGCCTACCGGTAGTGGTGACAATTTTCTGCACAAACACCCCCGCTTTCTGCAGGCAGTTGACATTGAAGCCCTCTTGACCGGATTTTGAGGAATCTCTGTCTGGAGGTGATTTTCCCGACACCTGGCGGGATACCATGGGAACTGATGCAGACTGGACTGGGCGGACATTCGCTACTGGTTTCTCCTCTGTGCTGGTGGAAGGGCGCCTGAACAAAGAATTCTGATTTAATCATGTTCCATTTTAAAACTTTGGTTAGTTTTGTATCAGCTGCCGTCCACGGACCAGTTTCTCTGGCTGAAGGCAGGGATGTTGGTGAGGCTCTGGTCACTGGCGGGGTAATAGTGAGCATAGGATGGGCGGGTGTATGGCACCGAGGCTCTCTTCTCCTCTTCGTAGCCCCTTTTAGCTGCTTTTTTCTCAGCGCTGCTCAGCTTCGGCTCCCGGCGGTCCAGCAGCAGGGACTCATGGGGGAACGGTTGCTGAAGGGAAGTAATAGAGAGGTGGTAAATTATTCATTTTTGCATTTTTACTCTAATTCTTAAAGGCCCCGTGTGTGAAATCCATTGAAATCATGATGAAAAAATGCGACTCTTTAGCGCCATGCAGTTCAAAGAAAGTATTGCAGCTACGGTGGCTCACTCATGAGTTTGACTGTATAATCAGTTTCCAACCTGTGCAGCCTAACCCACACAAAGCTTAAAACAAGCCACTCAACCTTTTTAAATAAGTATTTATAATTATGACTGTTTTATCAGCCTACCAGTCCTGAAGGAAGCAAGCTAGTTCTGTTGGATCTTGAAGCGGTCACAATTCACACATGGAGGAAGGGTGACGTCAGCCGGGAGGTCAGGTGTTGTGAGAAATTGTGTTCCCCTGAAATATTCTGTCCCCCCCGTGTCGGGAGATCGTACCTCAGGCTATTTACACAACATTTTTGATCAAGTTTTACAGGGAAATGATGTAATGTAATAATGTTATGCTTGTGATTTTTTTTATCTGTATTTCCTCCTAAAAACAATAAAAAAGATACAGTAAAAACATTCTTGTTCGCTCTTTTGCAGCAAGCTAATTTATCACTTTTGAAAGTTATGTAAAAAGATGTAATCTCACTCAGGTTAACCACCTTTTATTTGAGGTAGTTTAGTCCTCATAATGGTTGAAGTTAATTTCTGTGGATTTGGAAATATTTGCTCTTGACTGCCAAAGGGAAACAGAATATTTCAGGGGAACATCATTTCCCACAACACCCGTTTCACGTGGATCACGGTGCCTCGATGTAAACAAACTGGCTGCTGCTACCATCTATGGAGCGATCACTGGCTGATGGTTAACTACGGCTGGTGAAGGAGTGTTGGTGAGCCGGGGACACACTGGAGATCAAGTAAACAATGCTGACTTGTCCACCAGCTAATCGTGGCTCACGGCTGGCGTGGTGGAGATGAACATCACGAGCTACTAGCTAGCCATGGCTAAAGCCGGGGAGCTGTGTATGCTGTGTGTAAACTCTCACGGATTACCAGCAAAAGGAGACCAAAGTCTAAATGTAACGTTTGAGAAGAAGCCCTCTGAGTCGGAACGTCTCAGTAACGCGTGGAGAACTACATCGCTGTTAGTAAAGTGTTGTGGAGATAAAGTAAACAAAGCTGATTAGCCACTGGCTAGCGGACGAGCGTGTTGGGCGAGACGGCAGGCTGCGGGAAGAGAGGAGACTTGAGTAGAAGGACTTTGGAATGGACACGCTGGGACCGGGTCAGGAGTTCTGGTACTAGGAAAAGACGGATGAACAACTTGAGGTGAGTTTGGGAGTCAGAGACACTAATCGGAGGCTGGCGTCCAGATAATATCGGGCGAGGATCTGAACATATGCGGCTTCCTTGTGTTGGACATGATGACGAACTGACAAATTTTATGTCTTTTGATTTAATAGTTTTTTATTCAAACTAACAAGTACAGCAACGGTGTAGCTATTCTTTTCTATTTCTTAGTTGATTTGGCAGACTTCATGCTTCCAGGGCGCACTGCTGCCCCCTGCTGGTTCTTTCAGGTTACAGTCATAGTCCAACCGGGTAACGTGGAGCTCGTATGTCCCTAAACAGCTACTGTATTTTAAGATGGTGGATGACCATGGAGCCTTGACCACAGTTTATGTATATAAAAATGCATAATTTCAAGTTGAGAGGAATATTTAGATTTGATGTTGGTGAGAAATATTAGTGAAAAAGAACAAGTATGTGAACTGGAAACAGGATTTGACAGTAAACAGGTAAAAATATCACACACTGGGCCTTTAAAATCCAAATTTAATCAGCATTGCAAAATAAACTGTTGATTTTACTAAATAACTTTGGCAGCTGTGGTTGCCAGAGTAAAGACGTAAAAAATACTGCAAACAGTTTTATGCACATAAAAGGAGCGTGTACAAGAACAGTGTGAAATTGTAAAATGAACAGGTCGTCCCATAAGTTTTTACAAATATGTGTGATTTTATGAGTTGTTTGTGTAAAAACACAGTTTTTCTGTAGAATTATCCTGATCTTGTTGTTATTTTGAGCTTTCTTCCAGATAGATTTACAATTAGTTTTTGTGTCATCAAATTCTACAAAAAACACTTTTGCATAACATTAAAATTGTTTAAATGCTAATGGAATGTGTTTTAATACTCTGAAAACAGAATTTAAATTTCCTTTTAATGTTTTTCTTTTTAATATCAATTCTATGTTCAAGCCAAATCTATAGTGACCAAATACATCAAGCTGAAAAGATGTTCAGTAAAAAACAAAAACATTTTCAGACTCTCAATATAACACCAGCAAGTCTGTTTTTTGACCTAATAAATAAAAAAGCATTCTACTCATGTACCTTAGTAACCAGGTGAGAGTAAAGGTGTAAAGCTTTCTGCAGCACGCTCTCCTCGACGCCTTCAGGCTGCAGCAGGACCTGGGATGGATCCGGTTCCTCCTCCACAAAGTGAAGCAGACATTCAACTTCCCTCCTGGTGAAAGTCAGCACTGGGTTCAGATCGTCCACCACACGATCTATGGAAGAGGAAAAAAGGGTTAGGGTTAATTACAAATCATTCTGATTGGGACGGGCAATCACGAAATGTGTTTTTGATGATTTTTCTTTGTGACCAACTCACCAGACATGCCCTGTTTGGAGATCTGGCGGTCATAAATCTTCTTTTCCAGCGTGAAGTCGCACACCAGTCGGTAGATCTGACATGGTTTTCTCTGTCCATAGCGGTAGACACGACAAACAGCCTGGGCGTCATGGCAAGGATTCCAGGAGGCGTCGAACACCACCACACGGTTCGCACCGATCAGGTTCACACCCAGACAGCCGGCCCTGAGGTCCAAACAGTTACATTATCTCTAGACTTTATTTTCAAGTCTAGCTCTTAAGAGTTTGGATTCAAGTGGTACCTGGTTGACAAAAGGAAAACCCAAGCGGAGGTGTTGGTTGGGTCGTTAAACTGGTTTATTAGTCTCTCTCTCTCTGAAGCCGTCGTGCTTCCATCGAGTCCTTCAAAATAACAAACAATAAAAAGAGTTACCATAGTAATCTCTCTCTTTCTCTGTCTGTCTCCCTCTCTCTGTTGGTCTCGCTCTGTCTCTCTCTCTCCTTGTCTCTGTCTGTCTCGTTGTCTCTCTTTCTTGTTCTCCCCCTCTCTCTTTTTCCATCTGTCTGTCTGTCTCTTTGTCTCTGTCTGCGTCTCTCCTGTTCTCTCTCGCTCTCTCTCTCTCTCTCTCTCTCTTTCCATCTATCTGTTTGTCTGTCTGTCTCTTTATCCCTGTTTGTCTGTGTCTCTCTTGTTCTCTCTCTCTCTCCCTCCCTATCTGTCTTTCTCTGTCTGTCTGTCTGTGCCTGTCTCTCTCCATCTGTCTCTTTGTCCCTCTGTCTGTCTGTGTCTCTCTTGTTCTCTCTCTCCTCATCTGTCTCTCTCTGTATGTCTCTCTCTCTCTCTCTTTCTCTCTCTCTCTCACTCTCTTGCTGTCTATCTCTCACCATCTCTCTCTCTCTTTCCATCTGACTGTCTGTCTCCATGTCTCTGTCTGTCTCTCTCTTTCTTGTTCTGTCTCTCCCTCCATCTTTCTCTCTGTCTGTTTGTCTGTCTGTTTTTCTCTTGTTCTCTCTCCCCCCATCTGTCTCTCTCTCTGTCTGTCTGTCTGTCTGTCTCCCTCTTTGTCTATCTGTCTCTTTGTCCCTCTGTCTGTCTGTGTCTCTCTTGTTCTCTCTCTCCCCATCTGTCTCTCTCTGTATGTCTCTCTTTCTTGTTCTCTCTATGTCTCTCTCTCTCTCTCTCTCGCCGTCTATCTCTCACCATCTCTCTCTCTTTCTATCTCTGTCACTCTCTCTAACTGCTTCTCTCTCTCATTCGCTCGCTCACTCTCTCTCTCTCTCTCTTTCCATCTTTCCATCTTTCCATCTGTCTGTCTGTCTCTTTGTCTCTGTCTGTCTGTGTCTCTCTTGTTCTCTCTCCCCATCTGTCTCTCTCTGTATGTCTCTCTCTTTCTTGTTCTCTCTATGTCTCTCTCTCTCGCCGTCTATCTCTCACCATCTCTCTCTCTCTTTCTATCTCTGTCACTCTCTAACTGCTTCTCTCTCTCTCTCTCTCGCTCGCTCGCTGTCTCTCACTCTCTCTCTCTCTCTCTCTCTCTCTCTCTTTCCATCTGTCTGTCTGTCTCTTTGTCTCTGTCTGTCTGTGTCTCTCTTGTTCTCTCTCTCCCCCCATCTGCCTCTCTCTGTCCATCTGTCTCCCTCTTTGTCTGTCTGTCTCTATCTCTGTTTGTCTGTGTCTCTCTTTTTCTCTCTCCCCATCTGTCTCTCTCTCTCCATCTGTCTCTCTGTCTGTCTGTGTCTCTCTTGTTCTCTCTCTCTCCCCATCTGCCTCTCTCTCTCCATCTGTCTCTCTGTCTGTCTGTCTCTCTCTTCTTCTCTCTCTCCCCATCTGTCTCTCTCTGTATGTCTCTCTCTTTCTTGTTCTCTATCTCTCTCTCTCGCCGTCTATCTCTCACCATCTCTCTCTCTCTTTCTATCTCTGTCACTCTCTCTAACTGCTTCTCTCTCTCGTTCGCTCGCTCACTGTCTCTCTCTCTCTCTTTCCATCTTTCCATCTGTCTGTCTGTCTCTTTGTCTCTGTCTGTCTGTGTCTCTCTTGTTCTCTCTCCCCATCTGTCTCTCTCTGTATGTCTCTCTTTCTTGTTCTCTCTATGTCTCTCTCTCTCTCGCCGTCTATCTCTCACCATCTCTCTCTCTCTTTCTATCTCTGTCACTCTCTCTAACTGCTTCTCTCTCTCTCTCTCGCTCGCTTGCTGTCTCTCACTGTCTCTCTCTCTCTCTCTTTCCATCTGTCTGTCTGTCTCTCTCTCTCTGTCTGTCTGTCTCCCTCTTTGTCTGTCTGTCTCTATCTCTGTTTGTCTGTGTCTCTCTTTTTCTCTCTCCCCATCTCTCTCTCTCTCTCTCCATCTGTCTCTCTGTCTGTCTGTGTCTCTCTTGTTCTCTCTCTCTCCCCATCTCTCTCTCTCTCTCTCCATCTGTCTCTCTGTCTGTCTGTGTCTCTCTTGTTCTCTCTCTCTCCCCATCTGTCTCTCTCTGTATGTCTCTCTCTTTCTTGTTCTCTCTCTCTCTCTCTCTCTCTCTCTCGCCATCTATCTCTCACCATCTCTCTCTCTCTCTTTCTATCTCTGTCAGTCTCTCTCACTGTCTCTCTCTCTCTCTAAGATGTATTGATCATGAAGACCAAAGCCTGATTATTGCGTAGGATCACCAGCAGGTGGCAGCACTTATTAACTCATACAGAGACAGAAACACCCGTGGCACCACAACACCGTTGCAGTCTAAAACGTAAAACTTCCGTCCAAACAAATCACACAGATCCAACATCACCACATGGGTAGAAATTTAGCAACTCTCTGCACTTGTCAACCATTTCAACAGAAACTCCACATTCTTACTCTCTTCAGTATGAGGCAAGCTAACTGTCATTATGTTCTTGTAAAGTAAAACATCCGTTTGTAGACCAGATATTCAGTATTTAATAAAATCAATTAACAAAAACAAAGTGATTTGAGTGATCATAAAGCATGACTCACGGTAGTAGTTGAGATTGCGGACCCAGCTCTGGTTCGGTTTGTCTTTGCTGGCTGAGTAAGGGGAAGGAGGCACTGGTCTCTTAGCCAAAAATTCCTCAATTACAGTCAGTGTGGATAAACTCTGACTGCAGTAAAGGTGATTACAACAGAAATGTAAGTTTAACACAAAAATAGTTTTTCTCTTTATGTGTGTTTTTTTTATTCTCTACCTGAACACGAGAAGTTTGTCCCCCTTTCTGACGCTCTCCTCTATCAGGTGAAAGAGCAGCACCATTTTCCCAGAGTTCTCCAGGATGCCGGGTTTGTAATCACACATGATGTCCTTTGCCTGTCCGTGTGAGAGAAGACATTTAAAACGTCTAACATTAAAGGTTCCGGACAGTTATAAGATGTCTGGGACACATACCCATTCATATGTGATGACCTGATTGGCTTTTTCCTGCAGCTGACTCAGACTCAGTCCTCCAATGGGATCAGGACCGTCCAAGTTCTTTGACTTTTGAAGGGATGCTGTGGGACATCGAGGATGTCCCGCAGAGGTGATGTCATCGAGGTCCAAATCCTGCTCACTGGCCAAGTTCTCCTTCTGTAAGGCCTCGTAAAGCACGTCGGGATGATTCCAAATCTGGACAATTTATAATAAAACGTGTTAGATGTGCAAATCTGTGCTGTATAAAAAGAAGCCTGATAATCTAGACCCAATGTAGCAGGTTGGCCGAGCCACGCTCCATTGTAACCTCAGCAGGTCTACCTCAGCCTGAGATGGTTGGTTAAACTGAACCGCTGGTTAGGTTAAGTTTAGGAGGGTCCAACCACAGCGTCTCTATGAGACGTTGGGCTGTCTTGGCACCATTAGAGCAGAGCTGTTTTTGTCCTTATGATGACGGCAGAGCTGAAACAAAGCAAACCCATAATGGCGGACACGGCTCAGGAGCGGAGCTGGTTTTAAACGTCTTTGGTATAAACTCTGGATGATTTAGACTTGGTCTATTTTTGAGAGACGAGTAAATTGAGGTAATACTTCTTTGGTACATTCCCAACACTCACACAATTGTGTGTTCCCATCCAGTGGTGCGAGAACATAGGGTGTCCTGATTCTCAATTGTGGGACTTGGCCCCGCCTCTTTAGCACCCTTGACCCACAATGGTGCGGACTTTGGCAAAGGGCATTACCAGGGGTGGACCAAGACCAAAATTTGGCCCTGGCATTTTTACGAGTTGTCGGCCCTCCCCATTGGGAGAGCAGTGGGGGTGGGGGGTGTTGCCGCCCGCTGGCTCATCTCTAGACCGAATGTGAGATCCAATATGGACTGGGACTGTTAAATTACAAGCAGGGCCAGACTGCTGCAACTAGGGGCCCTGGCCTTCCAGATCAGCTCATTCTCCACGGGCGGAGATCAGCGGGACATTAGCTACATGCTAACGCGATAAAACAACTCCTACGTCATCGCCCTAATGCGTTTTTCTTGCTAAAAACACCTGGAAAAACTCTGCTAGCTTCAGGTTACCATGTAGCTAATGTTCTGCAGATCACCAACTGTGGAGTAGTGTCGGCCCAAGCTGGGCAAGCAGCCCACTTGGTTAAGCGGCCCACCGGGACAGTGCCAGAATGCCAGATAGGCCATTTCCCTGTAGGGATTTGAGAAGAAGGCGGAGAAATGGCTTAAGTGCCCTTTCTGAAAATATGAAATTTCTAGTGTAATTATCAAAATATTGAATACTTTATTATTGTGTACCTACATGATTAGAACTGAATATTTCTCGTTTGAAAGAATGAGTTACATGTCTGTTGAGAAATACCGTTAAATGATAACGGTGTGTATTTTTAAACTCAACATGCCAGCAATTTTATTGCAAGCTGCATATTAGCACAAACAACATCCCATTTAGGAAGTCATGACGATACGACCCTTTGGTGCAGGTCGACGACACAATGCTCACTGTCCCAATTCAGCCGTTACTTGCACACTTGTTCACTACGAAGCCGTACATCCACTTCTGTAGGCTGCAGTGTGGGCACTGGGACTGGGCCGCGGACTGTCGCGTTGACTGACCTCCATCGCTATGATTACATCACCCTGCTCGTTGCTCTGGCTGGTCCTTGCGTGTCGAGACAGTTAGAAAGACAGCAGCCCCTTTGACTGGGCTCTGTCTATGGGTCGTGGCCAGACTATATAATTAAAGGGTGGACTCCAGTGGAGGTCTGGATCCAGGATCCCCCCCACTCCTCACCTTGCAGCAGACACAAAAAGCCTTCAGTGGGTTGAGGCTGAGCCAGCCGGTGCTTCCTGCCTCTCTGAATCGGTTCATGAACTCTGTGTAGAGCGCCCTCTGCAGGGGGGACAGGCGTACAAGGAGAACATGCTCCTGCTTAGAGGGCAGTTGGTCCCTTAGGACATCATGGCCTCGTCTGCATTAAAGAGAAGTTGAAGTTATTCTTTTTAGAGCATCCTCAGAAATAAAGAAATCTTAAATAAAGCCGCTCTTACCTTTGAACAAAGCCCTCCAGAAGGCTGTGGAGGACATGGCTTCGGTACCTCATCAGCTGGATATCCTGTGGTGTGCTGTCCACACATTGTCCATTCAGAATGGGGCGCTCAAACATGTTACTGAACTCCTGCCGAGTACCTGAAATATTTACAAAAATTATTAAAAAGATGACAGAATGTTTAAAGAAACACAAACAATGTGATCTCTACCGAGGAAGTCTGGACGAACAAAATCGACCATGCACCAGTACTCTATCAGATTGTTCTGGAGAGGATAGCCGGTCAGAACTACACGCCGACGGGTTTGAATGTTCTTCAGCGCCTGAGATGTGCTGGCGTGGCAGTTCTTAATGCGATGTCCTTCATCACAAATCACAACATCTGGACCGGGTCGGGACAGGGCCTTCTCGATACCTGCGCATGGAACACATTTAATGACTTCTCACACTAATCTTCTGGACACACAGTTATTTATGTTCTATTCCTTCCTCTCAAACCTTTAAGTAGCTCCTGTTGCCGGTCTTCTTCAACCAGGTTTAGGACATCAGGTTCTGCAGATTTCTTGCTCCTCTTCTTCCTTCCAGCCACAAAGCTTTTCTTCAGTGACAGGAGGCGGTACATCTCGTATCCCATCAGCAGCACCCCACCGTCCCGAGCCCACTCCTCCACCACCTTGGCTCTGCTCGCCGTGTTCCTGGATGACAAAAGGATGAAGAAACGAATTAACAACAGATGGTCGTCCAAAAGACTGCATGATCTCAAACATGCTCAGATAAAGGAATCTGATTGCTAAAAGTGCATCTATCAAATAGGAGAAATTAAAAAAGATAAAAAAAACTCCAGAAAAAATAAAAACTACAAAATTTTAAAGCATAACTTCTAGAACGAGGTTATCGTATCACTTAAAATCCATAAAGTCCCTGTGACTCACTTGTGTTCGTCATTGAGGATGTGAACCTTAAAGGTGCGGGGCGCCACCTGTAAAGGGTCGGTGTCCGGCGGTAACGCCTCTGGAGGAGGGACCCACGTGTTGAACTCTGACAGCCAGTTCTGAAGTGTGTTCACCTGAAGTGTACGACAAATATCAGCCAAAGCATTGAAACGTTTCTCTTTTTGTCCTGTTTTTCCCATCTTTCATATGTTGATGGTGAAATTGAACAAAACGAGTATCCACAACCCATTTCAGACGATACTTTTATGTGTGGGATGCCAACAGAAAAAGTCCACAGATGATGCTTACTGGGACGATGGCGAGCACAGTGTGAGCCCGGGTGTGCCTGAACAGGATGTCGATGAAGGAGATGACCTGCAGCGTTTTGCCCAGGCCCATGCTGTGAGCGAGGATGCAGCCCAACCCGCTGCTGTTGTCGAAGAGCTCCAACGACTCCACCAGGTTGTCGTAAAGAAAACGGATTCCGCCGATCTGAGGAGGAAGGAAGGGAAGTCAAATCAATCATGAAAAAAAAAAAATAGAAACCTCATGTACGGTAAAGAAGTACAGTGATCCCTCACAACTTCGCGGTTCGTTTATCGCGGATTCACGACTTCGCAGATTTTTTTCTTTGGAGCCTTATTCAAGGGAAATTCGCCGATTCGCAGTATTTTTCTATGCGAAATATCAAGAAATTCCTGTTTTTTTCACCAATCATCATAAAATGCACTTTTTGTAATAAAACTATAAAAAACCAAGTAAAAAAAATTTTTTTCTTGAGTTTTACCCACAAAAAGAGAATGTGATCATACGATAATTCAATATAGTACTGTACTGTAAATATGGTGTCCCTACTGCGCGGATTTTCACCTATCGCGGCCAGGTCTGGAATGCATCTACCGCGATAAACGAGGGATCACTGTAAAAAGCATTTTGGTGAGGTCAGAATACCTGGTGAGGTTTGACTGCTCGTGCAAGCTGGGGTGAAAGGTAAATGTCCTTCTCTGCAGCTGGATGGTTCAGGTTGACTAGAACTCTGCCCTGGATGTCGGGTTGGTTCTGGGCGTCGTTGGCATGAGCGCCACTCGGCTCAACATCTTCTTCTTCATCGGCGGGCTTGCTGCAGACGTGGGGCGAAGCAACACCCTTACTCAGGTCGATGACGTCTGAACAAAGCAAAGATGCGGAGGATGGAATTTATACTCTAAACCAGGCATGAGGGCCATTTGCGGCCCTCAGAAGGATTCTGTGCAGTCCCCATCCTTCTAGATGGGTGAAATTTATGTTTGAGGCTTTTCAAAGGGTTGTATGTTTAGATTGTTACATTTGTTTTAGGCCTCTGTTGAAAAAACAAAAAACAACATTTAGCATATTTTTTTTAACTTAAAAAAAGTTGGGACCTTTGTCTTAAAGTAACACTAATCAGTTTTTCAAACTTTAAACTAGAGCTTTAACATTGATCTCAGTAATAGTTGGGTTAGAAACTAAACCAGATTCATGTTTCACACCACTCTGCTGGCCAGATACTACACCTAACCAATTCAGTGACCTAGTGGTAGACTGTCTTCCCTGGGACTGGGAGATCGGAGTTCGATTCCCAGTCGTGTCGTACCAAAGACTTTAAAAACGGGACCCAATGCCTCCCTGCTTGACACTCAGCTGTAAGAGATTGGATTGGGGGGTTAAACCACCAAATAGTTCCCGGGCGCAGCCACCGCTGCAGCTCACTGTTCCCCTCCATGGGGATGGGTCAAATGTGGAGATGAAATTCACCAGTGTGTGATGACGACTTTAACCCTCTCAGGCTCTAAAAAAGTTTTGATAAAAGGACGAACAACAAAGCCCTTCAGGGGTACTTCTGAGTTAAAAAATGCTCATGAAATACGTATGTGGAGTAACCGGTTAGGTAGGTTTTCCTGCCTCCAGAGGGTTAACTTTTAACAGTTTTGTGAAGTGGGTAGATGTTTAAGGGGGTGCTCTTGTACATGCATTATGGTGGTTAGCATTAATTTATGACTTTTACTTCCAGGCTCTGCCTTGATGTCAACAGAAAAGCAAACTTCTTCTTTTTCTTCGTCTTGTGCTTTTTAGTGACGATCAGAAACTGAAAAAGCTGCACAAAAAATATCTAACTGCCGTAATGCATGTATAAGAGCACCCCTTAGAACACATACCAACTTCACAAAACTGTCAAGTATTGTATCTAGTCAGTAGAGGGCTGCAGATTGGTGTCAAATATGAAACTGGTCAGGTTTCTAACCCAACAATAACTGAGATCAATGTTAAAGCTCTAGCTTAAGTTAAAAAAAAAACTATTTAGTGTTACTTTAAAAAGTTTGGGCTGCTGCTCTGAACTCTTCATGCATTTACCTCCAGAGATCCAAACAAGCCGAACAAGCCTTAAGTCCAAAACTAAAGCTAAACAAATTTTAAGGAAATAGTTCAAACTTAGAAAAAGTAAGAGGAACTAAGGTTTAAAGCTGCTTTCCTGAGTTTTCCTCTTTCAGAAATGATGTATGATTTGTCAGAAATCCGTAAAAGTGATGTGATATAATATAAGCAATACGTCTTTTTTTGTTTTTGCTAAGCACGCCCCCTGCCCTGCAGAGCTCCATGCAATAGGAAACTGAGCGCCGACCAGAACTAACCAATAGCGTTAGACTACCGCTTAGATGCTTCAAATTTAAGGAATACCTCGGCTGATGAAGAGTTGATGAACTTTTCACGGACAAGTAAGTCTCTAAAACATAAATATATGAAAACACAGCATGACATGAGAATAATACTCGTAAAACAACGCGTTTTAGCTCCGTTTGTCGGCTACAGAAGCACATTTATAAACAGAAACGTGAAGTCGCCATCTTAAAAAAACAGAGCGTTTTTGTGTGATACGCTTGTCAGCCACTAGATGGTGCCTTTGAATAAGAGAAATTCTCCAGAAAGAAGCTTTCAGTAAGCTCGGGAAAAGTGAAACCCTAAAAGCTTATGAGCAGTTAGTCTTCCTAATAGGGCCTGCACGACTTTATTTTTTTTAAAGTCGACAGTCAAGTAATGAAAGTCGAGTCGCCTTCGACTAGTCGTTGATGACGTCATATGCCAGAAGCGGGGGGTGGGGGTGGGGGGGTCGGTCGGTAGGTTCGCTGGAGTTTTTGACAATTAAAATTGCGCCCACATTTTCTAAGTTAACACATCTCTTTTAACAACGGTAGTTTCTGCTTCAGTCCTCTCCCCCCTCCCCCTGCGCAGCAGCCGCAAACTCACTGATGCGCCTGCAGCCTTTCCTGCTGCTCTAAACATTAAAATAATTATTTCATTTTCTGTTCCTCACTTCTGATTACCTTCAGTGGTGTCTGTTTGTTGCAACCACCAGGTACAAAAACGAACTTGTTTTATTTGACTATTTTTCTGTCCTGCCTGTTTATTATCTTCCTGCATCTCCTCTCAATCCTAAAGAAAAACTGCTACCTGTGTTCATATATATTCACCTCATGAGTTACCTTTGAACTGCAGTTCTAAAAGATCTACCATCCGCAAAAACAGCGGAGTGCCGCTGCTCACCGGCCGACTACAACGGGACGGTTTTTGCTGGGGAGTTCATGCCGGAGCGGAGCGGAGTGGAGATAGTGGAATCTTGGGGGTGCGTCACCGGAGGACAACAGGTGATGCGCCTCGCTCCGCAGCAGCGAAATGCATCAGGCACAAATAACAGACAGAAAACATGAAAGGAAATGAGCCGACATGAACGATCACGTGTTTAATTTGTTTTTGAGGTGGTGACACCTGATTTGGCGGTGCTCAGGACGCAATGTCTGGAGCGCACGTCAACGATCAGAGCTTTGCATGCGCAAACTGGTTAAGATTAGGATGGGGGTGAGGGGAAGGTTAAATTGCAAGAGGGAAAAGGTCACAGTTTGGTTAAATGTCCGTTTTACCGCCGGTGTCAGTACCGCACAGCGCGTCGCCTCAGCCTCGATCCAGACGCGCAGGGGCTCATCACCTGCTGTCTTTTCCGAGGACTGCATCTTGTCAGTCATTATCACGTGACAGCGACTAGTCGATGACAGGCATAAAAAGTCACTACAGAGCCGTGAAGTCGACTAGTCGACTATTTCATACAACCCCTACTTCCTAACAACATCAGTCTCCATCACAATATTTAGTCATTATAAAGTCATTTGGAAAATGACCATAAAATCATTTCCATGTGAGTTTGGAAGATAAAAACGACATCACGGAAGTTGACGGTTACAGTTACACAAGCTGGGCCACACTGTGGAGATGTGGTGTGTGTGTCAGTGTGTTACTGTGTCTGAATAAAAAAAGAAAGAGTGAGCTTATATAAGGCAGTGAATAGCTGGTTATACAAGTAGGATTAAAGTGGGGGGTGGGGGTGGGGGGGCGACTGGTTATATAACCCCACCTACAAATGTCAGTGTGCCACTGTGGTAGGGGTGTGTGCTCACCACCTGGGGATTAGCTGGATTTAATGCCCCACAAACACACTCTTCTTCTCCTCCTCCATTTGCTTCTTCATTTACTCTAGTTCACATTTCTGATATTGAGCTTTATTTTCTTGTGTGCACGTTCACCACATGTTCATCACTGTTAGCCTGGCTTCCAGAGATGCGATGCCCTACGGGAAAGTTTTAAGTATTCTGATGAACAGGTTGATAATCTACACGAAGATTATTTTTTAGGATTAAAGTTGCATAAACGAACACATGGAGAATTAAATGATTTTATATGATCACTGGTGTTAAGTAATATTTGTATTCTCAGCTTACATAAAAACCTGATTAGTACTTTTTCTTGGAAATCCCACCCAGCCCAGGCAGCCTGTTGGTGTGTTGATTTTCCAGACTCTTGTGGTCACAAGCCAAGTAGAAAAAAATGTGTAATTTAATAAATGAATAGTTTGAGATTTGAGTCATTTGGTTCTGCGAGGTTTTCGTTTGACGTCATCTGATTCATACACACTGTAAAATCTGATTAGTTAACCTTACTTGAAAAAGGCGTGTCGACTGATTGCTCTTAAAATAAGAAGTGCACAGGAGTAAGTAATTATGCATTAGAGCCACTAATCTGTACAAAGTAAACATACTTAAATGCAAGTTACTATTAATGGGAAAAAAAACTACAAAGTACTTTGCTTACTGTTTACTACAACTTAGATAGGTTTAAGGTTTTATTGTCTCTTATGTCTTTAACTTTTTAGTCCTTTTATGTTGTTTTTAGTGTTTTAAATGTTCACCTTTTAGCTTGTTTTCCTTTGTGTGGTTTTACACAGTTAGTTTTACCCCATGACTCATCAATTTTATTGTCTTCTTTTATCTGATGTCCAGAACTTTGGTCAGCTGTCATGTTGTTGAAAAATGTCCCATATAAACAAATTTGGATTGGATTGGATACTTAAGTACAGTATTTTCTTTTGGCATATAGAAATGCTGTTTTGTAATTTCAGACTTTAATAATTAATCCTTTCTTTTTTGTTTTTACCTGCTTTTTGTGCTGCACTAGAGGCGTTTGTGTTAATCCTGATGCTGCTGGAGTCTAAACAGGCCAAAGATGCCGTTGCTGGTGGAGAGGACACATGCTGGGTCACATCCCCTGAAAAGCAGAATGGAAATCATACAGTTAATACTAGATTTAGAGGGAGAACGCATGCTCAGGTGAGTACCAGTACAAGTACTAGTTCTAGAAAGTATTTTGGGTTTAGTGTATCTCACCAGCTGCGTATTCAGGCAGCAGCGGTATGGGGTAATCCTGCTTTCTTTGCTCATCCAAACGGCGCCTTCTCTCCAGCTCCTCCTGCTGGGCGGCTTTGGTCCCTGCCTCTAACTGATGCTCTCTCAATAACTTCCTACGCACACACAGAAAATACAATCACCTAAAACATAGCTGTTTATTTCTACACAAACAACGTATTCACCAAAAACACATGGCCTCTTCTGAACGTTTGCTCTTAAACTGATGAATCATTGTCTTCAGTAAAGCCCACATGGGACCTCTAATGCAGCATTTTTTCAAGCAGCATTTAGTTGTATGTATTAAACGCAGTAAAATTAACAATCCCATAGAGAATTATGAACTAATTAACATTTACAGGGTGTATTATTAAAATTAGTTCCATTCTTCTTTAAGAATATGCTCCCATTATTTCTACTTCCAAATGAAAGCCAAACCCACATGTGGTATCTGACACACATAAAAAATATGCCTTCAGTAAAAAAAAATTAAGTCTCAGACGTATCAAAAAATGTATTTCTCTATATGGTTTAATTTCCAAGAATCAATGCTCCTAAATGAATGAATGCCATGTTTGCACTGACTAATTGTTTAGACATCCAGGGATTTTGTAGCAGCTCTTCTCTCCTTTTATAGCAGCACTCTATGTTTTCCTAACATGACTCATTGATTAAGTATGTGACTAGGATTATTCCTACTGAGAGCCTCAAAAATGCTTTTTAGATTGTGGTTGTGCTAGCAGTTAGCCTTTTCAGTTTGCTGATTTGCTTTTTTGTTGGCATCATGGCGGAGCTTGGAAATAAATGTAATAGAATAACAGGTGTTTCTCAATGCCAAGGAACCTGGCCTTGATGTCTTGGCCCCACCCCGGTTGTCTAGAAGATACATCATCAGGAACCGCTAAGACGTGTTCCAATGTTCATGTTCTACCGAGGCAAGTGTTCACCATTTGTTAGCCGTTTCGCTAGCTGAGCAAGGCTACATGAGAGGTGTCTTGTAGCCTGACCTTGGTCAAAAATTTCCTTGAATATACCGCAGTATTTTCAAAAGGATGGCGGGTCAGAAGCCGGCAGCTACTTCCGGGACAATTTTCAAATTTAAAAGTAAGTCAACTAATTTTAAATGTTTTTTTAGATCCAAAGAAGTTATCTGTGGTTGGTTAGTTGCTTAGCAGATGCAGCTTTGGTGGCTATCAGGTAGTAACTCGCTTATATATTTAATTTAACAAATATTTAAAAATTTAAAAAGTAAAAGGCTCATTATATATTGATATTGAAACTTATATGTATAAAATATAACGTTATCTCCTGTGTCACATGACGCTATGTGACTGCCGTGGAAGCCGCGGTCATGTGATGTAAGTTTGTTCTATTTAATGGGTTTCTTTGACCAAGGAAGGACAGTGTCCTCATAAGCAAGGTGCCATGCCTCGCAACACATCGCCTCACAAGGCCAGGCGCCTTGACATTGAGAAATAGCCAATGTGATTGGAGGCAAAGCAAAGAGTTAAAACCAGAGTGAACATCAGCCCAACCTATGAGGAAGCTAAAGGAGTCTACAAAATCAAGGACTGATGGTAACCTG